AATGTTTATAAACCAATTATAATTAAGTTGCTTAAACAACTATAAACAAAACAGCATCATGTATGTATGCATAGTTTAATACAAAGGGCAGGAAGCCAATCACACAGAGTACATTTTTCATTTAAAAAATGAAAGTTGCAGTGGGATGGGAAAAAACCCTGCTATAAAGTCTCGAGATGTGTTTTTTCAAAGTTGAACTTGCATTAATTTTACATGGCTTTCTAAACATTTCTCTTTTGTGCGAGACGCGAGTGCAGCGGTGATAGATGTCCCTCTAGAAAATGCGCGAAATATGTGTTCTCGGCTTGGTTTCAGTTTTGACGTAAACAAGATCTTCTCCACATTGATGCTCTCTTTTCCCGCAATATTTGTAATTAACAACGCAGCAGCGCCGCAGTGGCTTCAACTTGATAGGCTAACAAAAACATTATAATGCAACGACACTTACATCGTCATCGCATCTCGTGCGCCGCTGATAAGGCTGCCTCCTTGACTAATTTTTTTATTTTAAATTCGACGAATATTCGAAATTCAAATTTTTTTTTGACAGCCCTAGTGTTCATGTTGCAACATTCATCAATATCATTAAAGTCTGAATGCAGGACGGACATTAAATGCAACTTCTGCTTCTCAGATATTTCTCCTAAGAAAATGAGGCCAGTAATCTCACATTCGTCTCCTCTAGAGTGTTAGATCTCAACAACGTCTCAGATTTGCACTCAACATGAGCTGCTCCACATTCATTTTACAACTCCGCATGACAGTAAGAGACTTACTTGTGCTATTTTTACTCCTTATGAACTACACAAACATCTGAGGCAAACACTTCTATTGCAATACACTTCTAGCAATTTTCTATAATTTCGGAATTACAAAAAAAAAAAGAAGAATAACACAGCTGAATGGTTTGCTGAATGAAACCCAATACTTGTTTTGTTTCTGATTTGCAGGAGCTGATTCCAGAAACAGTGTCTGTTGTGTTTGAGCACGTCACACATTTGTGAATTAGTCTTGTGTTTTCACTTAATAGCAGAAAAAACACCACAAACACACCATTCCTGTCTGAATCTGAACCAACGATTTGTTCAACTCTCAGCCCATTTTCACATGCATGAATGATTCTGAAGATGTTATATATTTTATACATTATTTTATTCTGACAATTCTGACAAAAAAGCTTATTTTGTGAAGTGTAAAGTGAATTAAATGGACATATTTTCCCAATCATTTGCAGATTGTAAGTTAAATGACACATTAAATACTACTTTTTGTCATTAAAACAGAAACTTTTGACATTTGACTCACATTAAAAAGGTCTAAATTTAAGATCCTCGTATTTGAATTGCATATACAATTTCCATGTATTTGGATTGCACAGTTTTAATATTATATGCATGCAGTATATATGTCACTTAATGTGATGCATATTGTTCAGTCACATATGCATTTTAAGATTTCTGTAATTTTATTAATAAACTGACTGCCTCAAATACACAATAACCAGGTTTATATATCATGCTTTATCATCAATAAATCCAATTTGTTTCAGTCTCATACATTTGAACTCACTGAATGTTACTTTTATCACAGCAAGCCATATTTAACCATGCTCATTTTTTTTATTAATCTAATTGTTTTCAACAGATTTATGCTGATTTAAATCATTTCATTTTTATTGTTTTACAAATAATTAATAATAAACTATTCCATGATATTCTGAGTGCAGAAATCTATCTGGTTTCTTTTATGCATCACATTAGGTTTATTCATTTATGGGAACAAAATCATACAGTGCCTCACGTTTTACTAAAATAAAGGAAAGAATTCATAAAAATGCGCAACAATTCCTTAATTCGTGGACGGATATCTTTTTCTGGCGTAGCTGTCAGTCAAAATAAAGGACAGGTAGCGAATAGCAAAGTATGTGCGTGACAAAAATGCATGCTGTTTTATTAAAGGAATTTTTAAATATAAATTAAAAATGTATTTGTGACAAATATTAAGTAATGTGAGAATATAAATCCCTATACTGAAACAGGCTACCCCTTTAAATGTTCCGATGGAAAGTAAATTTAACACATGATTCATATTATATAAATAATACAGCACACCTGTTACATTTTTCGAATCTGAAATATGGTGTAATACTGTGTAGCTTAGCATAAATATAAGCACAGGCTCATATAGGCTTGACATTTATAATGCTTGAATTCGTTCTAAATATGCACATAACTTCATAAGTATTAAATTTATTCACTGTAATGAATTACAGTGTTTTTCTTTAATTTCCCGTCGACTGCAGCCATCAAGGCAAGGCAAAGCTGACGGCTATTTGTGAATTTTTTTTTTTGCAAATCAGCATTTTTTCCAACATGCATGTACAAAACCAGTTTTAATCTTTCAAATTTTGTTTTCAATTTGCTATTCAGATCTCACAAAACAGTCCAGCATGCATCAGCATGACAGAAAGCCGCCTATAGATGGCAGCAGCCTATGCTTTTATTGTTGGCCTGTTGCAGTTTTTTGCGCTCATCTCCTCGTACTCGGTTAACTGCAGCTCGTCTGGCGAGGATGTCTAATTTGGGAAGCTATGGGCTGATTAATGACCAAAGCGCAGCCCTGAACTCTGCAATTAGAGACTACGGCTGGCACAGGACTGACTTTGATGGCTGCCACCTGAGGTGGAAAGGAAATGTCACTAGAGCTGTAAGAGGCAAACGCACGCTAGCTTTAGTGCCACCGAGTTCGTTTTGCATTTTAAAGCTGGAAATTAAAATTCTGTCATCATTTATTCACCCGCAGGTCGTTCCAAACCAAACCGCGGAGCACAAAAGAAGATGTGGGCGGTGACAGAATTGTCATTTTGTGCTAAACTAAAAGTATTTGGAGTGTAACTGAAGACTTGAAGTGAATTAATGATCCAGATGCTGTTCGGAGACAATAAAAAACAACACGGAGCTTGTTTGTCGGACTAATCGGATTAGAGCGTTCATTCATTCACGGCCGTTTGGCAGGTGTGAAAATTAATCTGAAATCGTGCCCACGCAAAATAATAAAACACAAACCTGTGCGAGTCATTAAACTCCAGAAGAGTTACAG